CAGGTCATCTGCTACGTCTACTTCACACGCATCATCGCCATCCTGCTGCGCGTGGCTGTGCCCTTCCAGTGGCAGTGGCTGTACCAGGTGAGCCGGGCGGCCCGATGTGGGCCAGACAGGAGGCGGGATGTGCCTCACCTCCCACCTGCCCGTGTGTCCCGCAGCTCTTGGTGGAGGGCTCCACGCTCGCCTTCTTTGTGCTCACCGGCTACAAGTTCCAGCCCACCAGGAACAACCCGTACCTGCAGCTGCCCCAGGAGGATGAGGAGGACGTACAGATGGAGCAAGTGTAAGGACTGGGCCTGCAGAGGGATGACCTGGCCCGGCTCGGGGGCGGGGCCGAGCGGGATTGGACGGGACCGAAGTTGGTTAGGGCGGGGCTGAGTGGGGGCGGGACCAGGGCTGGTGGGATTGGACGGGGCTGAGCAGGGTCAGGCCTGGTTGAAGTGAGTCTGGGCCAGCAGCTGTAGAGTCACGGTGGACAGGCAGGGACTGTTGTTGCTGGTTCTGGCGGAGACTGCTAGAGGGTGCGCTGTGAGGGCGGAGCAGCTCCAGGGGTGGGGACTAGGCTGATCTGGGGGCAGGTTAGGGCTGTTGTAGGGAGGGGGGAGCCTGCCGCCCTCCGGCTTCTGGACGCCTCCTGCAGTGTCTGTCCCCCCCCAGGATGACCGACTCTGGGTTCCGGGAAGGCCTCTCCAAAGTCAACAAAACAGCCAGTGGACGAGAGCAGTTGTGATCATTACCACTTCTAAGCCCAGCCGTCCTGTCCTCCTGTCTCCTGCACCAGCCCAGAGCGAGTTGGCAGGAGCCTGTGGGGATGAGTTGCCCGTCTTCCCAGGAGGAGCCCAATCAGAAGATACTCGAAGCCCCAAGGCCTAGGCAGCCCTGTTCTGCCTGCAGGACCACCCCGCACTTTCTGCTGTATAATAACGACCGATCTGTTTTTGCTATCTGGGTTTCTTGCTTTTCTGGGGTTGAGGTCCAAGGTGGAGGTTCTGTTTGCAGTCTAGAAATCTATATTCACGGCTGGGGCATCCAGCGTCCATGCATTACACATTCATTAAATACTTGTTGGGCAACTAAAGCCTGCTAGGCTCTATGCCAGGGACTGGGGACAGCAGTGACCAGGCCTGCGTCCCAGCCCTCCAGGGACTCAGTCCTTGGGGGTGGGGGTCAGGGAGAACTGCGTGTTGCCAGGCAACGCTGTCACTGTGCCCTCGTCAGTGGAAAGGTCAGGGAAAGAAGAGACGTGGAGAATGAACGCACGCCCAGAAGAGGGAACGGCACACCTGTCATCCCAGCACTTGGAGGCTGAGGCAGGAGGATGCGAAGTTTAGCCCCGCTTGGGCAACTTAGTGATTTAGCAAGACCCTGTCTAACAGTGGGGAGGGGGGGACCAGGGCTGGGGATATGATTCTGAGCAAAGGTCTTCGGTACCAGGAAAAAAAAATGCAGCATAAAGATCCATATGTGGCTGAGAGCAGGGTAAGAATAAGCGCCGTGCCCTATCGAGGTTCCTGGGACCTGTTAGCCTGAGGCACAGAGAGGCTGAGTAACTTGCTTGGTCACACAGCTCAGGGGTGACAAAGCCAGACAGTAAGCCCTACATGCATTGCCCCTCTGCAGCTAGATCCAAACCTCTCCCACCCGACTGCCCGACCCTGGGCCACTGGTTTGGTCCCTGTGCTTCCTGGCATGTAGAAAAGGGCATCTTGGGTTGGTTGGGTTGTCTCCGCGGATGTCGGCTGTGCACAGTGCCCGAACTGTGACCGGAGATAGGGGACCACTCCCTTAGGGATAGGTGCTCAAGAGCCCCCTACTCTGTCCTAGGGATCGAGGACCCCTTTGAAAAACAGTCCTTGGAAGGGGCACGGGTGAGGGGTGAGAGCAGGGCTGGGTGAAGGCTTCTGAAGCAGAGACAGCCGGGGCCCGCGTGAATCCGGAGAAGGAAGTGGAGAGGCACCGCGGGCCGTAGGAGGCAGGCAGAATCATGGTCTCCCTGCCCCCAGGGCTTTGAGGATGCAATTAAGTGAAGGCCCTCAAGATGGAGATTATCCTGCATTATCTGGGTGCTCCTCCTGTCTCAGCCTCCCAAATGCTAGAATGACAGGCATGGGACTGTCTGCATAGAGATGTGTTGTTCTAAACCACCAAGGTTGCGAAGGGCTTATGACAATGTAATAAGAGACTCAAACAGCTTGGTACAAACTGGAGCCTGAGTCCAAATCCCCGCTCTTCACCAGGTACAGAACCGCAGGCAAGAGAACAAAGTCAGTGAGCAGTGGGGATGCCGTACGAAGTGTCCTTTGCCTGGACAGCGCGGCCTGTGCCGTCTCCTACAGACTGTGGGGTAAACAAGTCGAATTAGGAAATCAACAAGATGCTGCCAGTGTTTGCTGTCATGAGCACGTACCCATGTCTTACTCAGGGGTCCCCTTTATCTACGGGGATACAGTCGAGGGCCCCCGGTGAATGCCAGAAGCCAAGCACACACCCAGCCCTATGGACACAGCGTCCTTTCCTACACGTGCACACCTCTGACAAAGTGTCACCTACAAATTACGCACAGCGAAAGGTTACCAACGATGCCTAAATCGTAAAACAGGACAATTATAAGATGTATTACGTCCACAGACCAACTCCCTGTGACGAATGTAATCATTACCTACTGCAAACATGTACCAATAAAAATAAAATAGAACAATTATAATAATACAACACAACAAAAGTTTTCTCAAAATAGCTTATGGCCCTCTCACCTTTTAACTTCTGCATATCCGAGTTCCCAGAATCACTATTTCTGTGGGTTGGGTGGGCCACTGTTAAATAAAATAAGGGGTATGTGAACTCAAGGTCTCTGATTCCTCAATAGTCAATCCGCTAAGACAGCTGCTAAATCACTAACGAGAGCGTAGCATCTACTAAATTGATACACTGGATGAAAGAATGATTCAGGTCCAAGGAGGGATGGAGTAGGATATTGGGAGATCTTATCACACCACTCAGGATAGTGCACAATTTAAGACTTAAAAATGATCTATTTCTGGAATTAAAAAAAAAAAAAAAAAAAAGATCTCGCTGTATTGTCCAAGCTGGCTTAAGTGATCCTCCTGCCTCAGCCTCCTGAGTAGCTGGGACAGGGGGCAAGGAGGAAGGAGGTGCTGGGAGCAAGATTCCCAGAGGCTTGCTCAGTATCTGGGTCCAGGAACAAGACCGGAGGATTCTGGGTCAGGGTCAGGGCCATCGTCAAAGTCAGGCAAAGGGGGAGAAGCAGCAGGCGTCCAAAAAATACAGAAATGAAGCGCTCAGTGCGCACAGGTCACACGGCCACACGTTCTGTTTGCCTGGTATGGCTGGATTCTCACCCCAGATTTGGAGGGAGTTTCTGTGACTGTGGATCTGCAGTTGGGAGAAGGAACAGAGGTTGGGATAAGGGGCCCTGCGGGTCTGGCATCCAGACTCCTGCATGTGTCCTCTGAGGGCAGGGGTGTCCCTGCAGCCCACAGAGTGCGCATGAGCGAGCGGTAGGGGAGACCACTGTCACCGGGCCGCTGAGCCGTCTGACCAGGTCAAGGCTACCAGCGAGTTAATGAGTAATGGGTGGGACAAGGGGATGACCTGTGGTCCTGGACAGAAATTCCAGGAAGGCAGTGTGGTGGCGCTCAGGCCGCTCCTGGAACTGGGGGAGCAGGAGGTGGGGTCCCCGTGGATCCCAGGCCCGGCTGCATCTCTGTTGGCAGAGAGTGGTATTGGGCTATTTCAGGAAGCAACCAAACCCAGGCAGCGCAGTCAGGGTGCTTAGGAAACCACGCTGAAATCATCCCCACCTCCTCTCCTCGTGGTTTCTAGTTAGAGATGCCAGACAAGGCAGGATTTCTGGTTGAATCTGAATTTCAAGTAAATCACAAGTACAACCATCTTTCGGTACCTTGTGGGGAATGGTTCCAGGACCTCAGCAGATACCAACACCAACCAAATGTCCATCAGCAGATGAGGGGGTGAAGACAGTGCGGCATTCACACCCCATGGAGTATTACTCTGCCATAAAGAAGGATAAAACTGAGTTGTTGCTAGGAAAACGGATGCACTTTGAGACCATAATGTTAAATGAGAAAAAAATAGGCGTACTAATTTAAATATTGCATGATTTCATACCAGGCCCAGCACTTGGGAGGTTGCGGCAGGAGGATCGCTGCGAGTTTGAGGCCAGCCTGAGCTACACAGCGAGTTCAATGCCAGCTTGAAGAGAGAGAGCCTGTTTCAAAACAACAAAAAAAATGTGGGCAAGGGATTTAGCTCAGTGGCCCTGCGCCTGCCTCACGAGTGCAAGGTCCTGAGTTCAATCCCAGGTCCCCCCAAGCCTGCAAAAAAAAAAAAAAAAAAAGAAGAAGAAGAAGAAATTAAGATGCATTCTCCATATGTACATGTACCAACTCCTCACGAGGGGTGCAAGCACCTTGCACACTACAAACACATTCTAATCAACAACCAAAAGAAATAAAATGGCGTAGGTATTGGCGTAGGACCAACACACATTTTTCCTTAGGCTTTATGATACCTACTATAATGGAAATGTTATGTACAGAGTTCTTACACTGTATTGCGTAGGGAGTGCTAACAAGAATAAAACCTTTTACATGTGCAGTACAAGTGCTATTATTTCTCTTATATATTTTCTTTTTCTTTTTTTCTTTTTTGGTACCGGGGATCAAACTTGGGACCTTGCACTTGGGAGACAGGCAGTGGAACCACTGAGCTAAATCCCC